CTCTGGGGGTCCTCTCAGCCTGGCTGGGGGGCTCCTTTGCCTCCCTCCTGCTGTGTGCCCAGCCTGGAGGCTGTGGTCTGTGACCGGCTCTCGGTGCAGACGGCTCCCTGTTATAGTGTTTCCTCACTTGGCTCATGTGAACCCAGCCCAATTTTTACTATGGCTACATAGCGCTCCAGAGTCATTGCTGTTAGAGTAACTGGTGTGACAATAGAATACACAAGCACAAAAAGACAGATAATTATACACAACCAAACTTGTAATGAACATCGGAAATTGGTTAAGATAAGTAGGATATCGGTCGTGACTAACAAAAAGCTGTCTGAGAGTAATGTGACAAAAAATAAAATGTAGCGAGAAGATGTGTAAAATGATTCCCTTTTAAAAACGGTCACAGTGAGCAACATGTTGATACAAAGAAAGATTATCACCAGGATTTGCACAGTCATTACCCGGTCAGTCAGTGGTCGTTGCAAAAACACACAAATTAGTGTGTTGTTACCTGCCATAGAGAGCACTTCTAAGAGGGCATCGGAGTGTCATTATTAAATATAAGACTTATTCTTTTCAGGTTTCCTGTTCTGGTTTTCTGAGAGATGACAGTGGAACATTAATTTAAAGGTCATATGAAACTGAAGTTGTGAGATGGTGTCATCACCTTCCCTTAGCAGCCATTCCCCTTGATGGCTCCACATCAATGATAGATGGAGAACTCAAAAGACTCTACACTGAAGTCTAGTTCTGAAAGTTCTGAAAAAAATTTTGCGTGTTCAGAATTTAACTGTCACAGTTATTGCCAAAGAGAACAAGTATATCCTGTTATTTTACATTTGTATATTCCTACCCTCATATGTCTGTAACAAATAATAATCAAAACCTATTGCCTCTTTTAAGGTATTTACTGCATGCACAACACTGTAAATTAGTAAAAGAAAATTGTCTTCTCTGTTTCAGATACTAATTAATTTTTTTAATTGTTCAGTTTTATTGTGATAATATGTAACATGAAGCATGCCACATGCCATGACATTCCAGCAAATTTGCTGCAATAGCCCAGTATAACTCTAGATCTTAACCCTGAAATGCTGAAAGCTAAAAAACCCCAAAACAAAACAAAAAAAAAAACAACTTTCCATAGCATGCATGCTTTCTATTATAGGATGCACCAAAATACTATAGATGTGGAAAAGTCTGTACAGACTATCCCAGAAGGTTGTTTCTGTTCATCTTAAAGTAGTGTTTTCAATGGAGGAAATGTTTCATAACTCATCGAAGTGACTTCGTCAGTCTCAGCTGGCTGCAGGTTCCCCCAACCTTATAAACAGTACATTTGCACAATAACTGAAACCAGCCCACTGAATGAAAAATGGGCTGGGAGGTCAGTTAGAACAAGACAATGCTATTGACCAGACCTCATACCACAGGCTATACCCAGGCGAATCTACACCTAAACTGAATGGTTTACACAAATAGGGTGTTCCTTTAAGAGCAATTGTCTGTATGATAACTTGGTCACCTATAGCATCTCAAAGTTTCTGGCCTCAATCTTCAACCTGTTGGTAGACAGCTCTGAACACCAGATCCAGAACACCTTGGACCTTGCTGAGAAGGTGAGAGATGACATTATGGAGGCAGGTGAAACAATGGGCTTGCATGATGTTACATCACTCTTCATTTGCGTTCCAGTCACTGAAGCGTTGGAGATAGTCCTTGAGAGATTACAGGATGACCACAACCTCAGCAACAGGACTATTATGACATGCATAGGTTCTTTCTCTTCAGCACCCTCTGCTGGTCATAGTGGGAATAGTCACCAGCTTATATTTTGGTGGGGTTTTTCTGTGTTCCTGTGGGTAGAGGAAACAGGAAGCTGGTCGCTTGTTAACCTGCAGAATATGTTGTTGCTCTTTAAAACGTTTTATT